TTTTGGATGTATTTTTGACCCCCCCCAATTTTAAAAAAAAATACGCAAACGTTGAAAAACTCCGCTAAACGCGTCAAAACGCTACTGCAAAAATTCCAAAAAACATGACTTTACACAGCTAACGTTACCAGCGTTATCAAAACACCCCGTGTGCATGGAGCCAAAAATTCCTCTAGAAACCCACTAGTCCTGGCCAAAGAATGTCCCAGCCAAAGAACGTTGATTACAGTCCTTCAGTTACTTCCTGGTTTTCATGCCTAGGCAAATGATGTCATAAATTCCAGGAGTCTTCAACAGGGGAAGAGGAGTTTTCTCCGCTAATTTCACCCTCCTTCCTGCATGCCTGAGCTAAGAGCAGATGGATTTGAGGAAGTAAATGCTACATGAATAATCTGCCCTTTCTCAAGATGGCCACGGCCAGAAATGCAAGGGGGGGGGATGATTTTCAAAGTGCTTTCTCAACACAGTAAAGCATGGAGACATGGATGGGGGGAGTTTGCCGTTGAACATTAAAAAAGAATGAAACTGCCTTTTTGGTGGTGCTCAGATGCAGAGAAGTTCTGCTTTAACTGTCTGAGCCATGGGTGTCAAATTGGCGGCCCTCCAGCTGTTGCCAAACTACATGTCCCATGAGGCATTGCAAGATGTTCATTGTTATAAGATTCTTTCAGTTTATGGAATAAACTTCACAAGATCTACAAGGTGTCGTCTGATCGAGTCACTGCCTGTGATATTCAACTAAGATTGGAGTTATCGCTATCTCATCGCAGCTGTAAGTTACAGAGATCACACTATCAATACTTAGATTGGAGAGACAGAACACTGATGCTATTGATCTCCCATTATTGTTGGGATGCCTCTAGACTTGCACGAGTGTCAAACTGGTGGCCCTCCAGCTGTTGCCAAACTACAAGTCCCATGAGGCATTGCAAGATGTTCATTGTTGTAAGATTCTCTCAGTTTATGGAATAAAATTCACAAGATCTACAAGGTGTCGTCTGATCGAGTCACTGCCTGTGTTATTCAACTAAGATTGGAGTTATCGCTATCTCATCACATCTGTAAGTTACAGAGATCACACTATCAATACTTAGATTGGAGAGACAGAAACTGATACTATTGATCTCCCATTATTGTTGGGATGCCTCTAGACTCTCACGAGTGTCAAACTGGAGGCCCTCCAGCTGTTGCCAAACTACAAGTCCCATGAGGCATTGCAAGATGTTCATTGTTGTAAGATTCTCTCAGTTTATGGAATAAAATTCACAAGATCTACAAGGTGTCGTCTGATCGAGTCACTGCCTGTGTTATTCAACTAAGATTGGAGTTATCGCTATCTCATCACAGCTGTAAGTTACAGAGATCACACTATCAATACTTAGATTGGAGTTATCGCTATCTCATCACAACTGTAAGTTACAGAGATCACACTATCAATACTTAGATTGGAGAGACAGAACACTGATACTATTGATCTCCCATTATTGTTGGGATGCCTCTAGACTCGCACGAGTGTCAAACTGGAGGCCCTCCAGCTGTTGCCAAACTACAATCCCATGAGACATTGCAAGATTGACAGTTACAAGCATGACTCCGAAAGGCAGAGGCATGATGGGACTTGTAATTTGGCAACAGCTGGAGGGCCACCAGTTTGACACCCGTGCCACCTGAGCAGTGGATGGCAAAATAGGGTTGGCTGCTCTTACAGCATCAAAGCCTTCCTTAACCTTCGTTCACCAATTTGCCCCAATATTAGACTTGAGGAAGGTTTGTGATTACATTTCACTTTTTTTCCTGGAAGAATTCAGCTAAGCTGCAGCTAGTAAGAACCTCATATTTGAGATTGTGGGAATCCTTCCATTTTTCATCTTGGCCGTAGATGTTGTATTGCATTGGCACCAGCTGTGTAATATTCGCTGTTAGTTATGATGAAACTTCCAGAATGTTGATCTATTTATGCCTATTAAAAACAGTAACCATCTGGATCTTCTTAGATCCTGCTGTGCTACATATGTTGTGTTTATTAGGGGAGGACTATACAATTCCCAGGAATCGGATCACGGTCTGCCCTTCCAGGAATGGAGCCAGAAGAGGTGCAGGATCAGCATCACAGAGGAGTCTTGGATCTCTCTGTGGATGAAAATAATTCACCGCTCTTTCATTTACTGAAGTCTGTCTGTGATATCTTCATTACCTAAGCATCATCAGTACATATGGCACAGAGAGATGATGGAAGAGGCTGGAGCAAAATGCCACCATTACTGAAGTTTCCAATTATTATTGCTTGATTTCCTTATATGTTTGGATTTAAAGGTGGCCTGGGTTCAAAAATTATTTGGGTGGGGCTTACTATGACCTGTAAGCATAGAGGGATTTATTCCCCAAATTCAAGGACATTGTGTGCTTGAGACCTTTCTTTAAATCCTCGGCGGTCTTACTAATGCACCCTTTGCCTTAGCTTGTGTTACATAGATCCACATAGATCCACAATATAGGTAGTCGACAACTTGGTTACATAACTACAGAATCCAAAATTGAACGCATTTCAGCTCATAGAGCCCTGGTCTCTGTAAGCCGAAATTCGTTAGCGGTTTGGATTCTGTACTTATGTAACTAATAAAGAATTTACATTAGGAAGCTCCCAAGTTACCGACTACCTATATTGTGAATCTACGTTTTGAAGGGTGAACGCCTTACCCAGCGCACCGGTCTCTTGCCTCCACACTCTAACAGAGCAGTTGGGCTTGGGTAAAATCTGCCTTAGCTTGTGTCCTCATCTGCCACATAGATCCACAATATAGGTAGTCGACAACGTGGGAGAGTGTCAGGGATCACCGCAGCGCTGGTCACGGCGCAGGCGCAGTGCGCCGCCTTGTGCAGGGACGCGGGCACTAGGCCTGGGCAGGCCGCGGCATCCGAACTCGCGCATGCGCAATAGAGGCCACGGGTGCGCGCCTGGCACCAATGACAGCGCAGGGCACGATATTTAAACAGCCCTGGACTGTCATTGAGTGCCGTCTGGTCTTTTCTGCATTCCTGTTACCTGTGAACCTGTATCCTGATTGTTGCTGACCCGGATTGTCCTTGACCACGCTGTATTCTCCTGCTCTGACCCTTGGCTTGCCTGACCCCTCTCCTGGATGCCCCCTATTGGATCTGATCTTCTGTTGCTGACCTGGCGTGTGACCCGACTATTCTCTGCCCACTGCTTTGTTCTGCACCATCCCCACGGCTACCGACCCGGCTTGTCTGACCTTGCACCTGCTCAGCCATCCATCCATCCCATCGGGGTCACCCGACCTCCTCATATCAGGCTCTCCCCTGTGGGAGCCCCTGGCGAACACCCCTACCACTGGTGGGTGTACTCAGTAGTCACGACCTGGTCTCAGAGCACTCCAAGTCCATCCCCACCATCAGGGGCCCTGGTGAACAAGTGCCCTGGTGCTTAGATTCCGTACTCTGGGGGCACCTGACCAGTGGAGTGCTAGTGGTACCACCAGGCGGTCTGTTACAGAGCGTCTTAATGTGAATTCTTTATTGGTTACATAAGTACAGAATTTAAAACTAACGTGTTTCGACTTGCCGAGCCCTAGGCTTTGTAAGCCGAAACGCGTTAGTATTTGGATTCTGTAGTTATGTAAAAAAAAAAAAAAAAACATTTACATGAAGAAGCTCCTAAGTTGCCAACTACCAATATTTTGGAGGGTGAATGCCAGCAAACCGGTCTCCTGCATCCACACTCTAACAGAGCAGTTGAGCTTGGGTAAGATCTGTTTTCTCTTATCTGCCACATATCCTGTAAAGCATAAAATGTTCTTGTCAGGTCAGAACAGCCCTCAGATATGATTGAGCTTGAACAGCAGGAAATAGTGTGTGTCGGGTGGAAGATGGAGTAGGAGGCTGGAGTATGGAGCCTGGGAGGGGGCCCAGGGAAGAGGCCTACCTACAGGATGATTCTGGAAGAGGGGACCTCCACTGTACCACCTAAAGGGACAGCCTGAGAAGCAGGAAAGGAGCCAGCCCAGCAGAAGACCTGAAGGCAGCCACCAACCCATGGAAGGATAGCATGAGTAACCTTACATATAAGGGGAGAGGACAGTCAGGTGGAGAACCCAACTAGCTGGGAATTTTTAATCTTTGGCTGGTTCTGGATCCCCTTGCCCAGGGAATACCCTTAGTACTGCTGGGTGAAGAGGAGGATTCATCTGGGGTGTGAGGATCTATACTGGAGAGCTGGAGTGCTCTCAAAAGAAGAGACAGATTTTGCTTTCTGTCCATAGACTTGTACATAGTTTGTCCTTGCAGTTCACAGTTCCTTGGGCAACCCATACATCCTACAACCCCATCCAAGTTCAGCACCCCTTAATAAAATCACACAAACAAGCCTAAGGACTAGTTACTGTCGTAGTGTGCAAGTGTGGAGGAAGAAGATGAGTTTTGCCTGGCTGTGCAGGACTGTAGGGGGACCCAACAACTCCAGAGGGGTTAGTGCTACACACGTTTTCCTGACACCAAGAGTAAAAATGGCGATGAGGGAGGGACCTCCAGCAGATCAACAGGCTCAGCACAACAGCTCAACTCTTCTGGGAAGGCCGTCCACAAGGTTTAGGAGGGTGTGTATGGGAAGGTTGGACCATTCTTCCAGAAGCACATTTGTGAGGTCAGGCACTGATGTTGGACGAGAAGGCCTGGCTCGCAGTCTCCGCTCTAGTTCATCCCAAAGGTATCGGGTATCGGGTTAAGGTCAGGACTCTGTGCAGGCCAGTCAAGTTCTCCACCCCAAACTCATCCATGTCTTTATGGATCCTGCTTTGTGCACTGGTGAGCAGTCATGTTGGAACAGGAAGGGGCCATCCCCAAACTCTTCCCACAAAGTTGAAAGCATGAAATTGTCTAAAAAAATGTCTTGGTATGCTGACGTCCCCTAGTTCCGTTCACTGGAACTAGGGAGCCAGGCCCAACTCCTGATAAACAACCCACACCATAATCCCCCCTCCACCAAACTTTAAACTTGGTACAATGCAGTCAGGCAAGTACTGTTCTCTTGGCAACCGCCAACTTCAGACACGCCCATCGGATTGCCAGACAGAGAATTGTGATTGGTCACTCCAGAGAACACATCTCCATGCTCTAGGGTCCAGTGGCGGGCGTGCTTTACACGACTGTATCCGACACTTGGCAGTGCACTTGGAGATGTAAGGCTTGGATGCAGCTACTTGGCCATGGAAACCCATTCCAAGAAGCTCTCTACGCACTGTTGTTGGGCTCATCTGAAGGCCACACCAAGTTTGGAGGTCTTTAGCTATTGACTCTGCAGACAGTTGGCGACTTCTGCGCACTCTGCGCTTCAGCATGCTCTGACCCCGCTCTGTCATGTGACGTGGCCTACCACTTGGTGGCTGAGTTGCTGTTGTTCCCAGTTGCTTCCACTTTGTTATAATCCCACTAACAGTTGAGCGTGGAATATTTAGTAGCCAGGAAATGTCACGGATGGACTTATTGCACAGGTGGCCACCTATCACGGGACGCGCTTGGAGTCACTGAGCTCCTGAGAGCGACCCATTCTTTCACCAATGTTTGTAGAAGCAGTCTGCATGCCTAGGGGCTTGATTGTATACACCTGTGTGCCATGGAGGGGATTGGAACACCTGAATCCAATGATTTGGAAGGCAGGCCAATACTTTTGGCAATATAGTGTATATCTAAAAATAAAGATTGATGTTTGTTTTTTAAGATATTTTGACTTTGCATGAATATCTTCTCTGCCTTAAAGTCCCAGGGGGAATTTTTGCTATCATTTTTTCTTGTTGCTCTGCTTTGCATGCGATGTAGACAGTTGTGTTCTGTGTTTCTATGTTTTGTATCACTTGATCCTATACACTTTTTGGCAGTTATTCTGCTTGGTGTGTCTCCATGTTTAAGAAAGTTTGAATTTTGTACCACTTGTTGTGTAAAATCCCAGGGGGATTTTTTTCAACCCTCCTTTGGGGTTTGTTTTTGCAATTGTTTTTGGGATGTTGCAGAAACCTCATGCAGGGGCGGGTGACCATTTTGGGAAAATCAGGGATGCCGGGTCATAGGGGGGGCCCATAGAGCCCTGGTACCTTTTTCATAGCTTTTTTTTTGTTTGGGCAAAAGGGCACAGGGGGCCATGATCCCCTATTGCCCCGGGGGGCCCATGGTTCTCAGTCTGCCCTTCCTAAAAAGTTCTATGTTTTATTT